ATATATATATATATATATATATATATATATATATATATATATATCATCGTATATTGTTATCGTTACCTCTAATAATGTTAAAAACAACAGTTGGCAATACTTCACGTATACAGATACTATATATATATGTAGGCATATATATTTTTAGGCATATTTAGAGTTACAAGACTTGAAAGGATTTTGGTCTTTAACCGTTTCTGTTTCGTAAAAACGTATCTCTGGCTTGTGAACGATGGATTTAGAAATAAAATTGCGATCAGGATATGCAACATTGAATGTCTAGATCAGTTGCTTCTTCGTATGATCTAATATGGTCTTCAAATTTTTGATAAAGAAACAGTATTATCTTTTCTTTATCGGTTAACATTTTTAAAAAAGAAATTAGAAATTGTAGTTGGAAAAAGAAAGGGAAAAGACAAAGAGTAAGATGCGAGAGGACCCGACTCGTTTTTAAAATACAAAGATCGAGAAGCGTTATCGTGAAGCGCGGGTATGTGCGAGTTTTGACTGAGTACGTATGATATTACCTCGTGAATGAATAACCGCGTTCGATAACAGCGAATGAACAACTAGGCTGGGAGTCTAAAAAACATAAACACAGGAGAAAAACAAGAATAACTTTGTTTTTCGTGTCTCGAGCTAGACGATATGACTTTTTACTCGGCTTTTTTACTCTTTGTCTTTTCCGTTTCTTTTTCCAACTACAATTTCAAATTTCTTTTTTAAAACTGTTAATCGATAAAGAAAAGATAATGTTGTTTCTTTATCGAAAATTTGGAGACTATATTAGATCAGACGAAGAAGTAACTGATTTACACATTCAATGCTGCATATCCTGATCGCAATTTTATTTCTAAATCCACCGTTCAGAAGACAGTGATACGTTTTTACGAAACAGAAACAGTTAAAGACCAAAATCCTTTCAAGCCTGATAACTCTAAATATGCCTAATAAAAAAATACTTTATTATAGGTTTTTTGGAAAGCCCTTGAAATAAGCTATAAGAATATGTAATAAAAAGTGGGGGGTCTAATTTAAAAAAATTCAATTTGACCTTTGTATGACCTTCGTCCTTCACCCAAAGTCAAATTTTTAGCCACTATTAGGTACATTTTATTAAGCCCTACAACTTTGCTACTTACATATTTTTCGCTACAGTTGATCCTTTTCGAGATATTTGACCGTTTCCGGACTTTTTGCCAACCCTATATATATATATATATATATATATATATATATATATATATATATATATAAATATAGTATCTGTATACGTGAAGTATTGCCAACTGTTGTTTTTAACATTATTAGAGATGACAACAATATTAATTCTCGATTTTAACGATTTATTTGGGAATTTTGTACAATAACATATTGCCCGATATTTCTTTTTTTCTCTATAATTGTAAATGAAATCGTTTACCTTGATTATCACTCGATGATCGAATTTTGAAAACCGTGCCAATTCCAAATCTTCGTCCCATATTTCTCTTGCCTCTCATGCCTTGAAATCCCATCGATGTCCTTTTATCAGAATCTTTCTTGCCCCTCATGCCCTGAAAACCCATTAGCGCCCTCTTGTCGAAGTCCATAGTATCTATGTAGTAATCTACGTAATTTTGAAAAGTATCTTTTTTGCCTCTTGTATCCTAAAAATAATTAATCATCAATTAACTGTTTAAAAATTTCTTCAAATTTTCTGTATGTATTACATACCAGGTATGTAAATATGAAACCGGAATTTTTGTATAGAAAATACACGTTTATTGTATGAAAATGATAAAAAATATTTTATTCGAAGTATTGCCCATCGCTAGCTATACATTTTTCCCACCTGTCTGACAATTTGTGGATGCCACGCCAAAAAAACTGTTGCTCTTTTGAGGCAAACCAGTCATCGAGCCATTTTCGTACATTTTCGTAAGAAGTGAAGCGCTGCTTAGCAAGTGCGTGTCCCATCGATGCAAACAAATAGTAATCGGACGGAGCCAAGTCTGGTGAGTAAGCCGCATGCGAAAGTATTTCCCAACTAAACGCCTCAAT